TTAATTGAGAACTTTTTTAACTTTGTCACAGTTTGTGACTTAGAATACCAAATACCTTCGGAGCAAACTTTTTGGAAATCGAAAAGGTTCGTAACATTCCGAAAATCTAACCCAAACGTAATATAAATACTTAAATAGTTATTGAGTCTCAGTCTAGTGTACTTTAAGATGAATTTTATTGGTAAGGAAAACTAATAGTGACACTTTTTAAACATTCAATTTTTTTGGTTTTTTAAACAAAATTTCCACGTTCGATTCAAAACTTCTTACTAACATGAAATCAAAATCTCAAGCAACATCTAAACCCTACTTATGCTCAAACTTAAACTATACTTCTACAACAGTACTTAAATTAGAGTTATATATTTATCTAATTGAATTGAGTTTGTAATTGAACTTAAAGGTATTAAACGCGTTACATTTCATTTTTTTTCTTAAAAATTCTATAGTCAACATCTCGTCACAATTAAAAATAAATTATATGAACTTATAAATAAAAAGTCCTTGGAAACCACGAAACAGCATCATAAATGTTCATTCATATTACATAATATATAATGCAAATCATATAAAATAATAACTAGTTACAAAAACCAATAACGTATATTTTTAAACTGAATATTATTTTCGTTATGGTATATTTTCCTCACAAAAAACGTAATTAATTGAAATAAAAATATAAATTGAGTGCATTCGTGGAATTCATAATATCCTTGCTTTCACGGCACGTTGATTACAGTCACTTTGAGTACGCCAAGAACATAATTGACTAAAATTGGTAATAAAGAAGAAAGTCTTGTTATTAAAATATGTAAAGTTTTAGTACTACTAGTTTATGGAATACCCTCACAAAATGATTTTGTTTGAAGTACCCTCCTCTCAATAGATATGTCATTAAAATCATAACTTGGAAAAAAACAAGTCTCGCAACGTAATTCTTCTACCGTAAAAAGTTGTCAGATCCATGTAATACCATCGGTTAATTGATTCTGTTCCTACTTATGGGACCTTCTGTCTTATCACGTCATTAGCTAACCTAACAACATGTTATAGTGACCATATCAATATTACAAATCTTATATGTTTTAAATAAATACATGAAAACAACTCACAAGCAATACATTTATATTAGATTAAATTGTTTATTATATGTTCTATGTCTTCTAGAAGTGCCTTAGAGTTTTGATGATCGGTCAGTCAGTGAAACAGTGACAAAATAAAGAAATTAGACTATTTATAATTCTTAAACTACTGGTTCAAATAGAATGAATGCCGTGCCGCTTTTTTGATCGAGCTGCTTGACAAAGGATGTAGCGCGATCGACTTGCCGTGCCCCCAGATTTCTGACTTGTAATGATATTTTTTAGAATTTCAAAACGATTGAATGAAAAATTAGTGCGTATTTCATCAAATTAGTATACCATATTAGCGACTCCATATTTCTTAACATTGCTTCTTCAATCATTACAAATCTAATACTAACTTGTTCCTCGCGACATGTGTTTGATCTAAGAAATGATTCAATCTTGTCTAAACAATCAGATTATAAGATTGATAAAGAAAATACAATGTTACCCGTATTTAGGGAGAATCGAAGACCGATTTTCATGAAATTCTTCAATTTTTTTTCAGGATATATTTATAATTAAATGGTTATCCTTGTTCTGTCCTTCAGGCTCATAAATTGAGCAAAGTAGTCATAATGATTTAACAGCGCTGAGATTTTTGCGTATAATTTCGCATCTGAACAATGGCCGCACAATGGCAGTAATTAAAGAGATAAGTTTTATTTATGAATTAAATTAAACTAGGAATTGTAGATGAATAAAACTTTTACATAAAACTGATGACTAAGTACTATGAAACATTTAAAATTAGAATTACTTATTTTTATGGGCTGGTCCATTTCTGACATTTATGTTGTATCATTGCGCGTAAATTAAGTCAGGCGTAATTATTTAATTGACCCGTTGTTATAGATTATAGCCTACTATTGCTACATAAATTATAAATGCAATTTAGAAGAAATTTTAGATTAAATATCAGCCAATTCTCTCCTTAAAAGATTGAATTTGATTGAAACTGAAATTTCAGAGGTAGGAACATAATTTAAATATTCTATTTCATATAATAAATAAAATATAATCAAATGATATATGAACAAAGGATCTTATTTTATTCATATTATTATTTAAACAATAAGAATTACTTAAATACTTAATGCATAGGTTTAAAATCTATTATTATCTAAGATTCTTTCTGATTTACTTTTTTACTTTGTATGAATAAAGTAAGAAGTTAGGTAGTACGAAGAATATAAACTTTGTCTATCGTTGTCCCGATGTATTCAAAAGTTATTTCACGCTGAAGTTGTAGTATTAACGTTACCTTGGCAACCAGCCAGAGTAGGCTTTAGGGCCACGCTAAATTTTAGCCGATATTTAATTTTTGTGATATGCGATATCGCTGTCATTGTCAGCCTTCGCATTTGACCGAGCTCGTGCAGGAGAATAATAAATAAGAAGCCTAACTTGTAAAAAGATCCCTTGAAGTTTTGTTCAGTTCAAGTGTCTTACGATTTGCCAAGTATCTCATAATAAGAACCTGTCGCTTGAAGTGGAAAATTGCAAATACTATTTATTATATTGAACCTATTTTTGGGAGATTATAAGACGAAATAGTCGTGATTTCATAAATGAATCGCTATATTTAGTATAAGTACACATTTAATGAACATATTGAGCGAACATACCGTTACAAATCATAGTAAGGCTAACAGAGTGCTATTGATAAAGTTAATGCGATCATTATAACATGGCGGTGACACCGCAGACAGAAACAATGTATTAGAGGAAACTCGGAGCAGCTTGGCGATAGTTAACTCAGTTTTGATACCATTACGGCGTTATTAATCAGTAATTTAGAATGAGCATAAACAATGTAAATACGACAATAGGACGCGAAGTGGGCTGGTTCAACTCATATCAGTGGCGTGCCACTCGCGAGATAACCGAACGCTGTCTTTGTATACAGATGTAAAATTATTAAGCTTTGGAATTCCTTAGGGCGGGCTTTCTGCCGCAATATTGAGAATTCATTACGAAATTACATGCCGAACATTTCCTTCTATTAATTCATATTTAACTCGCATTCCCCTTGTCAATAAAAACGATTGATTTTAGTTCGAGTTCGAGCCATTGACGTCTCTTCTTTTCACTCCAACATTTATATAACATGCGTTCATTTTTTATTAATGTCCGCATTTAAGCGTTCCCTATTTTACGTTGGAAAATTTTTCGTGCATATTTCAAAGGGAATTAAATTGTTCGAAAGTTTGTTGGACAGTTCGTCGAATGAGAATAATCGAGTGACAGTTCATGTTAGAGTTTGCAGACGACGGCATATTGAATGTAAAGCGTGTTAAACGCGACCGGATAAATTTACCGCAAAGATCTATTAGGTAGAATAGACGGCTTCGGAAAAGGCCGGAGGCAATCCCGTAAATCTCTATTTGTCGCAACTAAAACAGGTCACGGTGGAAGGCTATTACGTTCCCTAAATGCTGCCGAACTCCCTGTAGAGCGCTCTAATCCACTCTGAACGGGCTGGTGTCAAACGCAGGGCAGGGCTGTTTGTATTGTTTATTGTCGCGACGCCCGTTGCTTCGGCAAAGACAGCATAGCCGCATGTTTCGAGAGTGAACGCGTTTCAATCGATTTTGCCAAATGGCATCGCTTTAATATGATAGACACGTGTGAACTCATTTTCAATCTCGATATAAGGCATTGTCTATAAAGATTGTTTCAATAATTTTAATCACAATATAGTGAATACATTCTTTATTTGTTTATAAAAGGATGTGATGAGCCAAAGAGAACAAAACACTTGAAACAATACACCAACAAAACGGCAATCATTCCTGTTTTATCAGAGTTTGTTCACGCCGCGCGCGGAAACTGTTGTAATAAAAAACTACGTACGCTGAGTGTACACAATGTGGTTATATTATACGCTTGTGACGTACTCGTATACCTTTATACCTGTTATTTTATCCAAGTATGAAATACGCTTGGCTTGGCTCACGTATTGTCTCGTGTGCATTTAAAATAACATTTGCAAAGACGGTTTTGTCTTCTTACTTTTACTTAGTAATTTTGTATTATGCCTTTGTATTACAGGTGAATACGATATTTTAAATTATTTTTCCTAACGTCAAAGAATTGTACATTTTAAGTCTACTTGATATGTAATTTAAAATTTTCATGAGTAAAAAGCACGTCTACGGCGTAGCACGTTTAGCTTATACTAAAGTTGTATTAATTCGGATTTCATGCACACATTTTAAACTGAAACTTTTATTACATCGTCTCAAACTTTTTCGTCTGTGTGTTGCATGTCGCGTGACGGTCGGCCGCGAAGTAGGGATAAAGTGAAAGGCGCTCATCTTAGAAGCCAAGGCCAATATGGCGGCGCCTATAGTTAGCAGCAGCTGACCGTGTAGTGTATAGACTATTACTTAAAATGTGTATATAATCTAAATAATAGTTAAGTATTATGTATGTCGTACTCTCTAAGACACAGAGTTCAATAAAAATATTAGTTGGAGACAGTCTACTTTTATTATTTCCCATTATCATTCCAATTTTCCAAGTATAAAATTAAGATTGATAAAGCGATTTTTATACCCTTAATGGAATATTATTCCAAAAAATTTTAGTTAAATGTCTATAATGTGAAAAAAAGTTTCACTTTTACCGTGGTTTCATAAAACCACACAATCTTTTTTTTTTTTTTATATTTATTAGTTATATAATTATTATTGTATTTGTTTCAGATGTAACGAGGGCGCATCAATAATATATGACAATAAAACATAACTATGTAACGTATACAATTCTGTAAAGATAGAATAAATGCTTTGTGTACAGAGAAGACAATACGATTTTAATTCCACGAAGAGAATAACGAACGAAATGTGAGATAGATCTGGCTGAAATCAGATGTCTGTTGACATTATGGCTACGGAAGCACTGAGGCGAACTCGAACCGTTTCCATGGAAACCGGAGGGCTCCCATTGGCTACGTTTGCACTTCTCACTATCGTGGCTGGTAAGAACAATTTCATTAGGAATTTATTCAGCAAATTTAATAGTATGGGTTGCAATGTTAACTTTCACAGAGACCATTAAAATATTTCAAATCGGATAGATACTGCATTGATGCATGATGATAAATAATGTACGCTATATATACCTAATGTTATTTTTACATAATATATAATTTAATAATATTTACTATAACTTAATTATTTTACAAATTGCACGTAGACATCGGAGTTTTTTGAAACTTTAGTCTTCTGGAATCAGAATGTGCCCTTAAAATATATTATTATACTAGCTGACCCCGCAAACGTCGTTTTGCCATGTATATTATTTCTAGGACACATTTTTTTAGTTTAATAAAAATAACTATTGAATACAATAAAAAATTGGGGTTGATTGTAGAGGGGTGAGCATTAAGGGTTGTATGTAATTTTGTATGTTGTATCATAAAAAAATTAGCAGTGTTGGCCAGTAGTGGCTTCAGCGTGCGACTCTCATACCTGAGGTCGTAGGTTCGATCCCCGGCTGTGCACCAATGGACTGTCTATCTATGTGCGCATTTAACATTTTCTCGAACGGTGAAGGAAAACATGGTGAGGAAACCGACATGTCTTTGACCCAAAAAGTCGACGGCGTGTGTCAGGCACTGGAGGCTGATCACCTACTTGCCTATTAGATTTAAAAATAATCATGAAACAGATTCAGAAATCTGAGGCCAAGACTTCTGAGGTAAAGAGGTTGTAGCGCCACTGATTTATTTTATTTTTTTATCATAAAAAACTAAAATAGAAATAGAAACAAAAAAATTTGGGTGGACACTATTTATCACTTAGGGATTTAAAAGATAGATAGTAGACGATTCCCAGACTTACTGAATATGCATACAAAATTTCATACGAATTGGTCAAGCCGTTTCGGAGGAGTATGGGAACGAACATTGTGACACGAGAATTTTATAAATTAGATTGTATGAATATATCAAATACGATAATATTTTGAATTTACAACGGAGTCAAACCCAATAATGGAATAAAGTGACTGACAACAACTGCTGTAACGAATTCGAATAATTTCTATTTAATTAATATAGATATTTTTTTCATTGCTAAAACATTATAAATAAACTAAGAGTACAAAAAACATCACTAACGGTAAACCTGGTGCCTGACACCACAGTACAAATTCCTTTCCTTCTAAAAAAGAAGCAATCAATACAAAAACAAATATAATATTTATACCAGCTTACAGGTGGTAGATAAAATTGATAAGCTACTTTCTTAATGAACATGCCACAGAACAAGTCAGCTTTTAGGCTTACTAAACCACGATGAAAGGCTTAATATCCTGTCCAGCACCTCTTTACGCCTTTGAAAACATTAATTTTCTCTTCCTGCCACCGAATAAATTAATGTGAGTGCCACTAAATCTTCCCTCGAAAGTCACCGGCCAATGTTCATTTTCGCCGCGTCTCTTACAAACTGTGCTTTAAATTAAAAACGACGATGCCAGCTTTATTCTCAATCTTTTAAACGATACTTTTGTCACTGTTATATTTTAATTAGAGTAATTAAATGTTGAATGTAGGGCACGTTAAAATAATTTCAGCTATTCGCGGGCGAAATGAAATATTACAGATATTTTAGGTTCGGCGTTTTAAATTAAGGTTTTGAATTAAAATCGCATTCTTTAAGTGACATAATCTTTACGTAGTATAGATACATGGTTTCCGTCGTCTTTCAACGCTTTCGAGAATGCGAATTATTATACTGAATGGTTTGTTTGTTTTATAAAACGTATTAATTTTTATTTGTGTAGAATGCTTATTTCACTACAAATGGGGATGATAACACAGAGCATCGTAAGGTGTCCAAACAAGTGCAAAACGAATAATAATAATTTAACTTTCACAACACGTACAGCCTTACGATTCTACGATTTGGCATTCTGATCCCTCCTTGTAGTTTATTGTTTATCAGAATGCCAAATCGGAAAATGACTGCTTTACGACTGATTTGAGCGCAACCGCCGCTGCAAAAACCGCTGTGTGAGTTCGAAAAGTGAGTTACAGAATCGCAAGGCTGCTCTGTACTTGTTACTTTTTAAGCGTTGTGTAATTCCTGTGCTAAGACTTCGTTCTAACAAAACAGGTATTACTGCACTGTTCGTATGGAACAATAAAACGGACCGCTACATACATGATCGAACAAATTGTTGCACTTTAATGACTGTCTACGCTGAATGCAGTTTAGAAGCAATGCCGACCCAGATTCTCCCACGTTGTCGGCACGCCCGACGTAACCCATCCGTACAGACGTTGCCTTAGCAGATTCCACGTTTAATTGAAAACACTTTAAACAACCTTCTTTTAATTGCATTAGGCGACCCCACAGAGGAATTCGCGTTATTTCATGTAAATAATTTGACGGAGGTTAGGCTATTGCGATTGTCAGCCCAGAGGTTGTTTGGTGCATTTTTATGCGCAATTTAGGGTACGATTACAATAATAATCGAAGATGTCACAAATTTCTGATCATCTAATAATAATTATATTTTATTTACATCATAATAACACAAAACAGGAGATAAGTAAATAAATGAAAACAAAGGATGTAATTATAATAATAAATAAATAAAAACTTTATTAATGACAGAAGGGTTTGTGACAGAAATCATAAATCGCTAGTCCCCACACTAGGGAGGCCCTGTATTTCGTGGTACATGTTTAAATTAGTTAAAAAAAAAGATGATAATAAAAAAGAAAAAATAATAGTTATAAATTTAGTATTACAAATGAAGTGAATGAGTGAGTGTGTGAATAGGTGAGTATGCGCATGTGTTTGAGAATGTAGCTAAAAGTTATTATGATCGTGCACAGTGCACAGTGTTAGTTTATGAAACAAAACCAAAATTACTTAATACAGAACCTACATAGGTAAAATATAAAATTTGTTGGTAAAATGTTGTCAATTGTTTCTTAAATGCAAATTGATTTTAATTTAGGATTGCATTTACTTGATTATAATAACGCTAATGGTTATGAATAACTACCGGTCCCGGTTTCGCAGGGCAGGGACATATTTAAATTTGCAAATACATAGGGTCTATGTCAGGGAATGGTGGAAGAATTTTGGAATCAGTCGATTTTATACGTACAATAATATTTTACTCTTTATAGTATTACAGATGATACTTACTCGCAGTTAGGTAAGAATTGAGAAAGACAACAACCAACAAATTTTGTTTTTTACAACCAACCAGACACGGATTGAAATACAAAATAGGTTTTATATTTTTTATAAAAAATAAAAAACCCATTTTCCTATAAAATAAGCAATGAAACACACGCAGCTGTACCAAGACCCAGAAAATGTAAAATAAATTAATATTTATTCCAAAAAGAAATCAAGTAACATGATGCACTAATCATTGCATTATCTGTATGGAAATTACCGGCGTGTGGTGAATTTAATGCAATTCTATCAGAATGTAATTACAGACTGGCACAAAATACTGATAATTGAAATACGGAATCGGAACTTCAATTAGCGGAAATGCTTATAGGTGATAATGTGTTTTGATTAAAACTCGCGGGTATTATGCCAGTGATTATTCCCGTAATTAGATAGTGATTTTCTTTAAGACCTGTCTCATAAGGTGGTATCGTAATACAGTGGAATCTCGATAACTCGAAACTTGTTAAGTCGAAATCCTCAGTAAGTCGAAAAAATTGCTTTTCCTTTCCGCTGAACCCCTGAATACGCGGCATTACGAATAATTTAGACTTTGTAACTCGAACAAAATGTTATTTCCCCATGAAGTATTGATAATACATATTTATATCTCGAGTTTCAAAAAGGGGACTGTAAGTCTTAGTTAGTAAAATATAAAGATGTCTTACTTGGAATTTCCCGAAATAATAGCAATAAAATCCAAAATGAATGTTTGGGTTCGGGGCTTCTAATATATTGTGCAATGAATAAATACATTCATAAAAAAAATATATACTACAAAACTTAAGTTGAATTTTTATTTAAATTCGACTCTACAAATTGAAAAATACACTTAGAAATCGCACCTCTGTAAGCCGAAATTTCAGCAGTTAAATCATATGTATCTCAAAGTTCTTGTTAAGTCGAAAAATCGTTAACTCGATTTTTTTTGCCGTTCCCTTGACATTCGAGTTATCGAGATTCCACTGTATATGTTCATGTTATAAATGTAACACAATATTGACACTTGATCGTTTTAAAGTAGTGGCCAGTTGCAGTTGCTAGTTCAAGTAAAGGCCCTTTTAGCTCTTACCATCACCCAGGCGCTGAGGCTTGCGAAGACAGGGGAGGGTGTTGGGTATTGTGGAAAACAATTACATCACTAGAAATTAAGAGCACGGCTGAAGAAGATATCAGTGCTATAAAATATTATGTTTTTAAAAAGCGTTATAAACCTGTTCAACTATCCGTGAGTGAATAAGACAAACTGTGTCGTTAGAGTGAACATTGAGTGAGGCTCGCAGTTATTAATTTTCATTCTGCTGAAACATGAAAAACTTTTTGACGTTACATTTTTGACACTAGATAGATTTATACAGCTTTTGTTTGGGGAAGAATCGCTGAATGTTTTGCTTTTGTCAAATAAAGCTGTAACTTAAACGCGATTTCTCTAAAAGCATTTTTATCTTTGGTTAGTTCTTATATATAGCTTCGAAAACGAAAGTATTGGTTTCCGGAAAACGACTAAGAAATAAGAAAAATAATCTATTTTAATTTACGAGTAATTTTAATGTTTAATTCTATTATAATAAAAAAACGGTTTTGGAAACAATACGGTGGGAATATAGGAATTAAATAATTGTCAAATTTTATTTTATTATTATTAAGCCTTTATTCGCAATTTATAAATTGAATTACATTAAGTAAAGTTTAGTTTTTGGTTGGTTCTTTATTGTACGGTACCCCATCTTGGGTATAGGCCTTCTTCAGATTGTGCCATTCTTTTGTTTTTTTATAT